TTTGCCACAGCCTTGTTTTTGAACCCATGTCTGCCATCCACTCCTTTGAGTGCCCTTTTGTTCCGATAAACCCTGTTTTCACGAAGTTAAGGGGGGACTGAGTCCCCTCTCCAAGATCCACCCGCCTGACAGTTCCTAAATATGTGTATATATAATAATTTCCCTTTGGGATTTTTAAAGTATGACTGACTCTGATTCTGAGAAATATGCAATAAAGATGATTTTTGTCGGCAAAAAACAGACAATTTTCAACACTTTCTCACAGTTTTTGCTTCGGTGAGGTTTCTCTCTATCGTTCCTAAATATGTGTGGGAGTTTTTCTCTATTTCCTGGTGAACCGGGTGGGTGTGGACTCACCTCCAGCAGCGATCCGTAGCAGGTGGTCCCGTCCCCCGCATAACCGTCTGGACAGGTACAGGTGTGAACACCGCCCTCCCTCAGCTCACACTTAGCCTGACACACACACAAAAAACATCCTCTCATGGAGCTGAAATAACAGCATAAAGAGTTCACATCTGCTGTTCAAACGTCTGAATTCCAGCTGGTGGAGTTTTTTTTTACTCCTAATAAGTTCTCACCTGAATATCTTGATCAGGCGGTTAATGCAAAGAGGATTTATTCACATTTTATTCATATTGAACCGGGAAAAATCTCTCCTGACTTCTACTCATCTGAGTCAGATAAAAAGCCTTTGTTGGGCTCTCGGAAAAAGATTCAGTTGTGTTAAAACAGGGGAACATCTAAAAACTCAGAAGAGTCCAGATTGACCTCGTTAGTTGTCAGATATTTTACAAAAATGTGTCCATTAAAGGGCTTTTCCAGATGTCCATTCAAGTGGACAGCAAACGTTTTAAGATTTGACACAAATCAATTTTTTTATGTAACAATGTGAGCATTTTTTAACATTTTTAAACAGAGTTCATAAACATAGAACTCTGCTCTCATCATATTATAATATTCTCTATTATTTTCCTCCCTTTTCTCCCTCCTGCCCAGTCAACTGATTAATTTATTTACCTAACCCACAAACAAGAGCAAAACACAAAGAGAATCGAAGCTATCATGACAACAAATAATAAAATTAGACAATACTGCCATTAATTCTTCAGGTTGTTCAGTTTAGATTCAAAATTAGGGGGAAAAAAGCTGTTTAATGTCAAATTCAACCATCCATCTTCTTCCTTTAACCAGACCACAAAGCAATTTGTTTTCAAATCAGAAAAATCAGCAAAAGGAACCTGAATTCTTACAGATTTTTGTCAGCACGAGTAAGAAAAATACAGTTTTATGGCAGATTTTAACCTCCTGATTTCCTGTTTTCGTATGAGAACGCTGCGTTTCTGCCTCTGTACCAGGATCCTGCTTTTCTCTGTGACCTTTGACCTCTGGGCCTCATAGCAGACGCTATCAGACACTACTGTTTAAATCTAAAGGAAAATGCTTTTAGACGTTTGATCCAAACGGGCCAATGGGAGCAGGGCTGCTGTCCCATGTGACCTGAGAAAGGAGAGGATACTGTGTGGGATCCATTTAAATGGAGGAACATCTGAGTGGGGAATTCTGTAGAAAATCACTGAGAAATCAGCTTTTTAGGGAAATCAAGTAAAACAGCTTTTCTAGGTTTTTCGATGAGGGAAAATAATTGAAAAATAATATTTTTAGGCCTTTAGATGAAGGAAAATCATTGAAAAATCTGCTTTTTTAGGTCTTTAGATGGAGGAAAATCATCA